TATGTAATGCACTTGAGACCCCTCATCATCTTGATTGTCCAGCTCTCATCATTCTCCAGTTTTTCAATGTCCTTCCTAAAATGTGCAGCACCTAGAACTGAACATAATCCTTCTAAAGTGATCTGCGCAAAGGGTAGTACAATAGTACTAGAACTTCTCTAGTCCTAGACTCTCTCCTTCTTAATTTATTTTTAGTTTTCAACATTCACTTCCACAAGATTTTGAGTTCCAAATTTTCTCCCCATCTCTCCCCTCCCCCCACCCCAAGATGGTATGCATTCTGAATACCATTTCTCCCAATCTGCCCTCCCTTTTTTCACCCCTCCCCCTTCTCTCATCCTTTCCCCTTCTATTTTGCTGTAGTGCAGGATAGATTTTTATATCCCTTTACCTGTATATTTTATTTCCTAGTTGCATGTAAAAACAATTTTTAACATTCATTTTTAAAACTTTGAGTTCCAAATTCTCTCCCTTCCTCCCTCCCCACCCATCCTCATTGAGAAGGCAAGCAATTCGATATAGGTTATACATGAGTAGTCATGCAAAACACTTCCATAATAGGCATGTTGTGAAAGACTAACTGTATTTCCCTTCATCCTATCCTAGTCCCCTTTTATTCTCTTCTCTCCTTTGACCCTGTCCCTCCTCAAAGGTGTTTGCTTCTGATTACCCCTACCCTCAATCTACCCTCATTCTATCATCCCCCCAGTTTATCCCCTTCTTCCCTATTTTCCTGTAAGATAGATTTCCATACCCGATTGAGTGTGTATGTTATTCCCTCCTCAAGCCAAATCTGGTGAGAGTAAGGTTCACTCATTGCCTCTCACCTCTTCCCTTCCATTGTAAAAGCTTTTTCTTGCCTCTTTTATGTGAGATAATTTACTCCATTCTACCTCTCCCTTTCTCCTCCCACTACAATCCTCTCTCACCCCCTAATTTTATTTTTTAGATATCATCCCTTCATAGTCAACTCACCATCTGCCCTGTCTATATATATATATATATATATATATATATATATATATATATACACACACACAACTACCCTAATATTGAGAAAGATCTCATGAGCTACAAATATCATCTTCCCATGTAAGAATGAAAACAGTTCAACTTTAATAAGTCCCTTGTTATTTCTCTTTCCTGTTTACATTTTCATGCTTCTCTTGAGTCTTGTATTTGATGGTCAAATTTTCTATTCAGCTCTGGTCTTTTCATCAAGAATGCTTGAAAGGCCTCTATTTCACTGAATATCTATTTTTCTCCCTGAAGGATTATACTCAGTTTTGTTGTGTAGGTGATTCTTAGTTGTAATCCTATCTCCTTTGCCCTCCGGAATACCATATTCCAAGCCCTTAATGTAGAAGCTGCTAAATCTTGTGTTAACCTGACTGTGGCTCCATGATACTTGAATTGTTTTTTTCTGGCTGCTTGCATTATTTTCTTTGACCTGAGGACTCTGGAATTTGGCTATAATATTCCTGGGAGTTTTCCTTTGGGGATCTCAGGAGGTGATTGGTGGATTCTTTCAATTTCTGTTTTACCCTCTGGTTCTAGAATATCAGGGAAGTTTTCCTAGATAATTGCTTGAAAGATGATGTCTAGGCTCTTTTTTTTTATCATGGCTTTCAGGTAGTCCAATAATTTTTAAATTATCTCTCCTGTTCAGTTGTTTTTCCAATGAGATATTTCACATTGACTTCTCTTTTTTCATTCTTTTGGTTTTCTTTTATAATTTCTTAATTTCTCATAGAGTCATTAGCTTCCATTTGCTCCATTCTAATTTTTAAGGAATTATTTTCTTCAATGAGCTTTTGGACCTCCTTTTCCATTTGACCAGTTCTGCTTTTTTAGGCATTCCTCTCCTCATTGGCTTTTTGTATCTATTTTGCCATTTGGGTTAGGCTGTTTTTTAAGGTGTTATTTTCTTCAACATTTTTTGGGTCTCCTTTAGCAAGCTATTGACTCATTTTCATGATTTTCTTGCATCACTCTCATTTCTCTTCCCAATTTTTCCTCTACTTCTCTTACTTGCTCTTCAAAATTCTTTTTGAGCTCTTCCATGGCCTGAGACAAATTCATATTTTTGTTGGAGGCTTTGGATGTAGGAGCTTTGACTCTGTTGTCTTCTTTTGAAATTGGGACATTCTGCTGAAAATATGTGACCATATGAAATACCTAGGAATATGCCTACTAAAACAAATCCATGATCTATATGAGCAAAACCATAAAATCTTTGTACACAAATGACAGCAGATTTAAATAAATGTGGAAATATTAATTGTGCATGGGTAGGCAGGGCCAATACAATAAAAAATAATGATTTTTACCAAAATTTATCTACATATTCAGTGACATCCCAATTAAATTACTAAAAAGTATTTTATGGAGCTAGAAAAAATAATAACAAAATTCATGTGAAAGAACAAAAGGTCAAGAATAACAAAAGAATTAATGGGAAAAATGTAAAGGAAGGAGATTTAGCAGTACTAGATCTTAAACTATATTTTAAGGCAGTCATTATCAAAACTCTCTGGTACTGGCTAAGAAATAGAAAGGTAGATTAGTGGAACAGAGTAGACATACAATCTACAGCAGCGAAATGAATATAGTGACCCAGTGTTGGACAAGTGTAATGACTTAAGTTTTGGGGATAAGAATTCTTTATTTGGTAAAAAAAAAATTGTAGGGAAAGCTGGAAAGTAGTCTGGCAGAAACTGGGAAGAGACCAATATCTTACACCATTGACCAAGATAAGGTCAAATGGAGACATGACCTAGATATAAACAGAGATGTTACAAGAAAGTTTCAAGAACATGGAACATATTACCTATCCCACTTGTGGAGAGTTGAACAACTTATGAACAAACAAGAGATAGAATGTGTTGTGACATGTAAATTGGATAATTTTGATTATATGAAATTAAAAAGTCTTTGTAAAAATAAAACAATTGTAGCCAAAGTCAGAAGGAAAGCAGAGAATGGGGGAGGGGGATTTATAGACAGTTTCTCAGATAAAAGTCTCATATCTTAAATATAGAAAGAATTTTGTCAATTCTATAAGAAGGCGAGTCATTCCCCAACTGATAAATGGCCAAAGGATATGAATAAACAGTTTTCCAATGAAGAAACCAAAACAATTCACAGTCATATGAAAAAAAATGCTCTAAATCATTGTTGATTAAAGAAATGCAAACTAAAACAACTTTGAGATATCATTTTACTCCTATCAGATTGTCTAAAATAATAGAAGGGGAAAATGACAAATGTTGGAGGGAATGTGGAAAAATCTGGACCTTAATTCATTGTTGGTGGACCTGTGAGCTGATCCAACCATTTTGGAGAGAGATTTGAAATTATGCCCAAAGAGGTAATAAACTACCTTCAACCCAGCAATACCACTAGTAGGGCTGTTTCCCAAGATAATTAGGGAAAATAGAAAAGAACCTACATGTTCTAAAATATTTATAGCAGCTCTCTTTGTGGTGGTAAAGAACTGGAAATCGTGAGGATGCCTGTTGATTGGAGACTGGCTAAACAAATTGTGGCATAGGTTCATGATGGAATACTACTCTACTATAAGACATGATGAGCTCAATGATTTTAGAAAATCATAGAGAGACCTCCACAAAAAAAAATAAAGAATGAAAAGAGCAGAACCAAGGGAGCACTGCATACAGTAACAATAATGTTGTTTAAGAACAACTTTGAGAAACCAAGTCATTCTATTATAAATACCCAAATTAAATGCCAAGATCCTATGAAGGAAGATGCTATTTGAACCCAGAAAGGACTATAGCTGTGCTATAGGAAATGACAAGCTGGCTAATTTAGAAAAGCATGGAAATATGTTTTACTTATGAAGGAAGACGCTATCCACCTTCAGAGAAACAGATGATAGGAGGAAACAAGCATAGTATGGTCTCACATATATGTGTATGAGTGAATATGTGTATATATGTGTATGTTTATAGATATCTATGTGTGTGTATATTTACACACACACATACACACACACACACACACATATCCATACTTAATTGTAGCCTTCTTGGGGTGGGGGTAGAAGGAGGAGAAATGTAAAGTAAAAGGTGCACAGCAGAAAACAAGAAAACCAACAAGGAAGCAAAGACAAGCTGGGCAGCTTTGAAAACAATGTATTTATTATATAGGTTTTCTTGAATGGAAATTTATTGTTTTATATTGAATCCTCTCTTATGGTCAGCTATGCACATGGAAATCTTTTTTTTTTTCATATTGTACTTAAGTGTAAAATATAAAAATTATAAAAAAATTTTAAAAATAAAATACATGAAAAAAGGTAAAATAGAAAATCAGAAATGCAATCAACACTACAGAGTCACTCTGACTGTGAAACTAGGAAGGGCCCTGGGAATACTAATAAGAGAGAGGAAGGAGAAAGTCCTTACTTACATTCTCCAATCCAGATAACACAAAAGGCAGTAGGTACAAGATAGTCCGGCTGAATGACTAGGCAGGCAACACTAGGCTGAGGCCCCGGGGGCTAGTGTTGTTGTCGTTGAGTTGTTTTTCAGTGATGTCTAGAATGGCAAAGTTGGTTCATGAGGTAGTTGGTCTCCAGGCTTAGGTCCACCAGGTTCCTCATCCTGGTGCTTGTGGGAACAAGCAGGTTAAGGCCACTGTGGGAGGGATAGAGGTGGTCATGAGTCCTGGGGATTCCGAGAAGTTGAGTGTCCTGATGCTTCTTCCTCGGGATTATTTGTGTACTTTAAAGTGAATAAGATACTGAGTTCTCCCCCTAGAGAAAACAGAGAGATGAGGAAGAATTGGGGAGTTGGGATCTGTAGAACAGAGTAGATGGAGCTTGAGAGAAACACAATAGATCCCACAAGAGGAAGAGAACAGAGAGCTAAGGCACCACACTTACTTCAGTCCTTCCTATCTCATCAGGAATGTTGTCTGTGAATGAAAAGAAAATTTGTCAAGACCAAGCTGTTGTGGTTTGTCCTTCATTCTAGGAGAGGATCATGACATTGGGAAGATGCTGCCATGACTTGCAAGTGAATTGGATTTAAGTGAGGGAGGATTTACAGAGTCACCAGCCTCACTTTCTTCTCTGGAGCCATCAAGGTCCAGTGGCCAGACATAAATCATGACAACTTGAGATGATCCAGGATGCATTGAGAGACCTTGGCCTTTTTAAGCTAAGGTCTTTCAGAGTTCTCACTTTGACTGGGGCAAAGCCCATTCAGTGATTAGGCAGGCCCAAGTATTGCCATATTGAAGGGTTTATAAAGTGCTAGAAATACTGTTGCTGAATATACATAAGACAGAAGCTAAAAAGTACAACCCAGTCTTCTACAATTAAGAAAAAAAGACCCCAGCTTCCCCCATCCTCATCCCATTTCTGTAAGCCAAGAGCAAGGTGGCCAGATTCCTTCCCCGAGCCAACCCTCCCTCCTGGCCCCACAGCTGCTGCTGAATCTGCAGCATACCTCTGCTCCAGAGCCCCGAATCCTCACCCTTCTTAGCTGAACATCTTCATCTCCTACCAATGACACTGTATTTGAACCCAGAAGATCTGGATTTGAATCCTGCTTCTACCACTTAGAATCTTCATATAGTGTACTGGAAAGAAGGCTTGATTAGGAGTCAAAGTAGTCAAATAGTGTGACTTTGAGCAAATCACTTAACTTCTATGGGCCTCAGTTTCCTTGTCTGTAAAATGAAGGGATTGTACTAAATGATGTATGAGGTCATTTCCATCTCCAAATCTATGATGCTATATTATGATCTTGGGCAAATTGTATGATCCTTTTAAATCTCAGTTACTCCATCAGTAAAATGGAGATAATAAAGCTCATACTACTTAACTCACAGGGTTACTGGATTATATTATCGTCTCCATTCACCTCACTACTTACCTTACAACGCTCCTGAGAGTCCCTTACTAGCCCTAGCTACCCCTTAATCCCCTTTCTGAGAAGCACTGTCCTGAACTCCTGGTTATAAGACTTTGCCATGTAATATCTTCACTTTTTCCCATCTCCAATGTTGTCCTGGCTGTGCTACAGAGCTGACCAAGAGAGCTAAGCTTCTGCCCTCCTTGCAGCTCTGCTGAGCTCCCACAAGCATCCTTTTCTTCAGCCTCCAGTCTCCCTTGCAGTTCCAAGTTGGGGGAGGTGTATCTGTGTCCCACCATACACTGGGACAGCCAGTGAGAGAGCCAGCTGTACTCACTTGGTTCCTCTACAAGATTCTCTCCTTCTTTCTTTTGTTTAGGTGCTGTCTAGGAGAACTAAGGCAGGGCCCATACAAGGTTAGTGGGATAATGGGAGAGTCATGAACCTCAGGACCACGGAAAGGCTTTGATTAAAGGAGAAATTAGAAACCCACTTAAAGCTGCCACACACCACTCAATGAGATACTTTCTGAGACGGTGGAAAGTAAACAAGTACAAAGACCTTGGGATTTCTGTACTCCAGATCTTAGGCCAGGAGATATGGTGAACCAGGTGGGGAAGCACCAATCATCATCTCATGTGGAGAAATGCTTGTGTCCTAGACCCAATAGTGGCTGAGCCACTACCACCTCCCACCCTTCCCCCACCCCACTGCCAAGAGATCTTAAGGCTCCCACCTTCCCTAAAAGTTTGGCTCTAAATCACTGAAGCCCCTTCATATGCATCATGGCGAGGGAGGGGTAGTTTGTTCACTATTTAGTATATTTCTCTAAATTTAGAATATGTAATGAATTGGTCCCAACTGTGTGGGTGTTGGGCCAGGAAACCGTGCATTCCACTGCTAGAGAAGGAGCAGAAATAAGAGGGAGTTCAGTGGGAGGAGGGTCAATGAAACAGGTGGGAGTGGAAGAGATTCTGAGGTAGAAGGCCAATGCTCACCTCCTCTTTTAGAAGGGGTGTTTACATGCCCTCTAGCATGGACTGTGCTTGGGTTAGTGAGACAGGTTTGTGCTGCTTTTTTCTGAATCTCTGTGCTGCTTGGAGTCCAATCCTGCCATCCCCTGCCTGCCATGAGGGGACCTTAATTGCCCCAGACTGTCACCACCTCCAGCTCTGTGCTGCTGTGGGTAGCACTGTTGTGTCTAGGTAAGTCTGACCTTACTGGAGCAGAAAATGGGGGTACAAAGATGAAGGGCCAATTCCATCTCAGGCATCATTTGGGGGCCTAACTTGGGAGGAAAGCATGAGTGGGGAAGATGGAAAGAAGGTGGTGGTGGGATTAAGGGGCTAAACATAACAAGTTCCTTAACTGCAAAGGATTTAATTTGTGGGGAAACATACTGAGACTCTTCCCCTCGCCTTTTCCCATAACTTGTCGCCTCATTAGGCTACATAGTACAAAATCATATTTGGATAGCACTTTATTCTGAAGTCCTTGCTTCCCCTAGAATGAAGAATCCTTATCAGTATTTCTTCATCATTTTTTAAACTAAGTCCTGCACTGAAATTTATGCATCTATGTTTTGTCTTATTGTGGAATTGTGTCTTCGGGGAAAAATATTTTAAATTGTGAGTGAAAATGGTCTGTCTCAGGGAGAGATGTTCAGAGGAAGGACAGATTTTTGTCTCTTTTGATTTTCTCTTTCTCCAAGCAAGGAAGGGAAAGGAACACACATTTAATAAGTACCTACTATGTGCCAGGCACTGTGCTAAGCATTTTACAAATGTTATGTGATTTGGTCTTCACGATAACCCTGTGTGGTAGGTGCCATTTGAGTTAAGGAAACTGAGGCAGAGGCTAAATGACTTGCCCAGGGACATAGAGCTATTAAGTTTCTGAGGTTCAATATGAACTCATCTTCCTGACTCCAGGCCCTGCACTCTGTGCAGTACGGCACTACCTAGTTGCCTCTGAGGAGGGCTGCTTAGACTTAGAATAGTTTAACTAATTAAAAAATTGTCTCTGACCTACTTGTGTACAAAGTGCAGTGTGCTGAATTTTTTCTTCCACACTATAAGGAAGCATTAAAGAGACGGTGCAATAATACAAGAGAATTAAAGCAATGCTTTCCACACTGAGGTAGTAGCTCAGTTCTTACATAGCATCGGTCCTGTCCATTTCATTTGAAGGCCAAAATCACTGCCAGGTGAGTCCTCCCTATGGGCTGGGGTCTTGAAGGTCTCTCCCAAGGAAGCTCCTTGTTCCTTGCTCCTCAGTCATTGACGCTGTGAGGCTGCAACACCTGGACTGGATTCTGATGCCTGGATTAGTGAAACTCAAATTCTTAACCCGGATTGGAGATTTTTCCCTCTGAACTTAGAATGGAAAAGAAGAAATAAACAGGCCAAGAACATTCCATTTCTCAGAGTGACAAATTTTTCACTTGATCTTACTATATGCCACAAGGGAAGGAGTCACCTTGCTCCTCCAAGATACAAATGTAGCAGAAACAGTGAGAGCTGACTTGGGCCTTTTGAAAAGGCTGATGGTTCTGGCTGTTCACTCACTTCTCCCAAACATGTGGCAGGCAATCTGAAACCAGTTAAAACATCTCTATCCATGCTCATATGCATATATACACATACATATACATATATGTACACATATATGGATGTGTCTATGTATGCAGATATGCATAGACACATATTTGGTTTTGCTTATTTCATTCTGCATCAGTTCATATATTGAAATGTCTTCTTAATGCTTCTCTGAATTAATCATATTCATTATTTTTGTGGCAAAATAAAGTCAATCTAGTTTAGTATCCCTTATTTTGGGCCTCTAGCTTGTTTTCAGATCTTTGCTCTCACAGAAAGTCTTGCTATGAGTATTTTGGTATAGATAGGACCTTTATTTCTGTTTTTAACCTCTTCGAAACATTTGTCTTGGAGTTTCCTGTTCAGTTCTAAGGTTAAGTTCATTTCCTCTTGCTTTCCCCAACATCTTGCTCCTTTCAATTACTTCCTCTACTCCAAACATCTTTAATCCCTTCCCTTTTACTGGCTCCTCTTTTGCTTTCAAGCACATACGGCTTTTACTCATCTTAAAACAAAAATTTTATGCCAAACTTGACTTGAACCTCTAGCTTCTCACCTAAAGGCAACTATGTGGTACAGTGGATAGAGCAGTGGGCTTGGAGAGAAGAGTAACTGAGTCCAAATTTTACTTCAGATCTCAAATTCGATCTTAAGAAAATCAATGAACCTTTGTCTGTCTCATTTTCTTCATTTGTAAAATGGGCATAATAATAATTCCTACCTTTCCCGGATTGTTGTGAAAATCAAATGAGATACTGGTGAAACACTTAGCATGGTGCTTGCTACACAGTAGGCACTTAATAAATGCTTATTCTCTTCTTTTCTTTCTTTCCTATTTACTGGTGAACCTCTAAAAGGAGTAGGGTAAATCAACTGACTCTATTTCCTCCTCACCCATATTCCTTAACATCCTAAAATCTGATTGTAATCTTCACTACCTTATGGAAATTGGGACATCATTAACCTGTAGGGTTGGGGATAATGTCTCATTTTTGTATCTCCAACAGTGATTATTATAGTGCCACAAACACAGGGAATGTGAAAAATTATTTGTTGAATGAATGGATTGAAAGGGCATGATGAGAGTCTCCTTTGAAAGGAGATGGTATTGGGGTTGAAATCAAACCAGGAACATGGCAGTCTACTGAAGTAGGACCAGGCCATACAACTAAGTTGAAAATCATCTTGAGTACATGCTTTTTTCCCTTTAATTTATTTAATTTATTTTCTAGCTGTTTGATTTGGCTTTTTAAAAAACATTTTATTGAAGTATTTCATCTTAACATGGTAGTCATTTCCCCCCCCCCTTGTGATGAAGAAAAGCAATCAAATAAAAATATCTCCTAAGGAAAACTGATCTGCCATGCATACAATATTCTGGCTTTGTAGTCTTCTCCAGGGCTGGTGAGGAAATATCTGCATACTCTTTTTCTAATGGATGAGTAGCCTCTTCTCTGAGTCTTAGAATACTTGCATGAACCCTTGGTCTAGTCTCTTATTCAACTTTTCTGCTTAACTTTCACAATTATTTTATTATGTTTCATCTCTTTCCAAAATCCCAATATCAACAACTCTCCAAGACAAATACGCAGAACTATTTTCAAGTCACCCATGTAACAGACAGATGCAGGCAAAATGTTCAATTGTTACTGTCCTAGAAATTTATTTGTTTATTTATGAAAATGCTAAAATCATTTCATACATCTACAGGGTCCTTCTCTGTCTAGGGATGAGTCAGTACTGTGTAGCCCTGAGCTCCTAGGAACTCAGCCATGACAAGGGTGCTAGCTGAGGTTGATTATGTTGCCCAGAGCTCACAGACACCTCTATCCTCTAAAGACAAAGACACTGGAGGCCACGGATAAGGAAGAGTCCTCATCCCCAGCTTGACAGGAGTCCCCCTCTGCTGCCCTCAGGAATGGACTAAAAAGAATGAGGACTAGGATATGAAGAATTGACAGAGATGAATGGGTCACTGCCATGCCAAGACCTCAGTCATTCCACAGGCTGATGAGTCAGTCATCCTCAGGTTCCTAATGTTGTCTGGAAAAAGGGCACCAGGTATTCTTCTTTGAGAGACTGACCTCTCTCTTAAGTGTGAAGTACAGACCAGTGTCCACTGCAAACAGAATTCCCATCACAACGTAGAAAGGCACATAGTGCCAGAATTTAAAAGATGACGAAGTGGATGGTCTTGGATCTACATTTGTACAAAAGTAAGAGGAAGGAGGAAGAATCATGAGAATCCTGGTGAATCAACAAATCAAGTCAACAAATACCCAGCAAGCTCTTATTTGCTAAAGGAGAAAGAAAGAAAAGGAAGTCATCTGTCCTTGGGTCTGGGGTTTAGGATGCATACTGTGAGATCTTCAGAGGGAAGACTGCTTGAATCCCTAAGGTGACCTGATGCTAGCAGTCTCAGCCAAGAGGTAATATGAGGATCTCTCCTAGCCCAGAGAAAAAGAGAGAGGGAGAAAATAGTAAGAGTGAGGTGCTACATCTACACCAGACCCATGCGACACTTGAATTTTGTAATATTTGACATCAGTTTTATTATTAGTGATTATCATTTATTATAATACTATCATTATTACTATAATTTCTGAATCAAGTTTCTTAATGTTCTAGCTCCATATTATATTTTCTTCTTCACCCTATATAATGGAAAGAGTTCCTGCCTGGGCCTACAGACTCAAAAGACGAACTCTGATTTGTCTTTCTGGGGATTCAGGAATTCAGGATTTTATCAGAATTGCCAGACACACCTGGTCATTTACCCTTGGGAATGGGGGGTAAATTGCAAGCATTCATAGTAAAGTTGTTGTGCTGGTCCAAATGATTGGGAGCATGCTTGAATCAGGGAGCATTGCACCTCAGGATTCTAAAACACAGAGTAGATTGCATGGGAAAGAGATGTTATTCCTTCAATGGAGGAATACAGAGTTGGGGAGTAAGGGGAGAGGTATAACTTCTGTTCCTTTGCAGTCACATCTGAATGAATGATGATGCCCCACTTCCTGAGAACTCTTTTGTGGAACTTTAGTACAAATAAAATAGACAGCCAGGGCAGATAGATACTTTCAGCCTGTGCTGGTAGCAAGAAAGAAAACTCACAGTGATTTAGTACTCTAAAACCATCGTTAGCCCTCTCCAGATCCATCCTCCAAAGTCCCCTTCACTCAAAGCCCAACATCCTTCACTCTTCCTTGGTTGGGTATATCTCATATTGGATAGTAATTCTCACCACTTTTGACTTTTCCTTCTTATTTCCTATGGTCACTGAACAGAAATCATTATAGTTCATGTATAGTCATTATTGTTCACTTGATTGATGGAAAAGTTGGAATCATTGAAAAAACCTTCTTCCTTTCCATTTTGATAGAATGTGACTTTAGAGATACCTTTGTTTTCCCAGCCATGGCACCTCAACACCATGGGCTCCCCTTCCATATAAACTAATTTGAAGGACTGGCATAGCAGCCAGTCTGAAGAGATAAATAAAGACCAAGAATCCAGGAGGTCTCAATTCAAAGTAGACTCTCAAGTCACTGCAGACTGGGATGGGGAGAGATGGTAAGCTTCCAGGACAAAGAAAAATGTCATATGGTGAGGTCAGTAGCATTGACTGGGCGCTGTAGGAGGCTATCAGAAAAACCTCTTTGCCCTTGGAGACCTCCCAATTTCATAGGGTCATGGTATAGACACCTATGTAAAAAAGTCATGGGATACCCAAAAAATATAGAAATGGAAATAAATTTAGGGTGTTATTTGTCTCTTGACAGAGAGGAGATGGATTCAAGGTACAGAATGAAATATGCATTTTCAAACGTGGCAAATGTGTGGATTTATTTTGCTTGACTACATATCTTTCTTACGAGGATTATTTTTATTTTTTCTTTTTTACATGGTGGGATTTGGGGAGAAAAGAGAGCTATCAGTAGTGTTGCCAAAAAAAAAAAGAAGAAGAAAAGAAGGAAAATGGTTATTGGACCATTTTTAATGCACAGAAGAGAACAAAGTTCAGAAGGAAACACAAAGAAATAGGACAGCTTTTAAAATAATACATTGGATTTCTTACATACTTAAAAAAAACTATATATAACATAGATATATGCTTTCAGATTTAATCTTTTTTATGTTCTATTTTGTATATGAAACTGATTATTTTGGGAGCATTAAGTTCAGAATTTTAAAAATAAAAGAAAGAAATGCATTCATGCAAACAAAACAAAATCCATCTGTACATTCTGGGGAACAAAACAGGATCTTTGATGTCAAATTAAATTTTAAAATTCAATTTAACAGGAATTAGTTAAGCACTTACCCTGTGTCAGGCACTGGGGATACAAATGCATTAATGAAACAACACCTGCCCTCAAGGAACTTACATTCTACTGGGGGAAAACAACCTGTATATAGATAAGAAAATACAAAATACATACAAAGTAGTTGGGGTGAGGGGAGCAGCAACAATTAGAACAACCAGAAAAGTCCTCTTATAGGAGGTGGCATTTGAGGCCAATCTTGAAGAAAGGGAAGATCCCAAGAGGCAAAGGTAAGAAGAAGAATATGTCAGGCATGGGGGACAACTGGTCCAAAAACATGGAGGTGAGAGCTGGCTGTCATGTATAGCGAATGGCAAATAAGCCACTTTGGTAGAATATCTAGTCCATGAGGAGGAGTAATATCAAATCAGTCTAGAAAGATAGTTGGAAGTCAGATATGAAGGGCTTTAAATACCAAGCAGGAAAGTTTCTATTTTATCCTAATTTTTATAGGTTATCAGGGAACCACTGAAGCTCCTTGAGCTGTGAACTGACATGGTCAGACCTGTGCTTCAAGGAACATCAGTGTGGCCTCCATGTAGAAGGTGAATTGGAGAGAAGAGAATGCTAAGAGAGAAGAGAAGAGGGTACAGAATAAAGCCCTTTGATGTACCCAAAAATCAAGGGCTCAACGTGGATACTGAGAAAGATCAGTTAGCAAGGAGGAAGATAACCAAGAAGGAAGTGTTACAAAAACCCAGAGGGGAGAAAGGAGGGAACAATAGTATGCAGTGCTACAGAGAGGTCAAGAAGGATGAAGACTTAGAAAAAGCCATTGGATTGAGCAACAAACAGATTTTAGGTCTAATAGGAACCTGAGAAGGCATCTAATCCAATCCTACTATTTTCCAAATGAGAAAATGGAGGCCCAGAGAGGGTTAACCACTTGCCCAAGGCAATAGATTGTCAACTTCCATGGAAGGACAAGCTCAGGTTTTCTGACTCTGAAGCCAGGATTCATCACATGGTGACATTTCACAGTACCATGTTAGATCATTGGTAACTTTGTTGGTCCTTCATTTGTTTTTTTTGTGAGGCAATTGGGGTTAAGTGACAGCTAGTAAGTGTCAAGTGTCTGGTCTGAGACCCGATTTGAACTCAGGTCCTCCTGCCAGGGCTCTATCCACTGTGCCACCTAGCTGCCCCACTGGTAACATTGGAAAGAATAATTTCAGTCAAACGATGGGACAGAAGTGAAATTGCGAGTGTTTGAGAAGCAAATGTGACATGAGAAAGTGTGGATAAATGTGGATAGCTTTGTCTTAAAAAAAATTTATTAGTCTCTTTTGTTTTTAACTTTGTCATGTTTTCTGATTGTATCCCTTCCACCATATCTGCAAAGCATACTTTATAGAATGAACAGAATTTTCATTCAAAAAAAGAAGAGAAAAACTTCTGTAAAAGCAACCAATACATCAAAAACATCTCCCATTATATTCAATGTTGTACAATCAAGGATCTTCCCATCTCTGCAAAGAAGTAGAGGGAAATGGTGAACTTGTCTTCAGTAAGTGTGTTTCTTTGAGTCTGATTTCTCTCAGCTCTTCTCAGAACTATCCAAAAAAGGCCTGCCAATGGATGGAAAGCGATAGAATTGTAGCTTAAGTGAGTAGCAGACTCTAGGGAACAATATTTTAAGGCAGACAGGACTAGCTTGTTTGTAGTCTGGGGAGAAAGATCTGATAGAAAGAGACATTAAAGATACAAGAGAAATGATGAGTGAACTATCTCTCAAGGGGAAGCGATTAAAAGCACAGGTGATGGGGTTAATTCTGGAAAGCAGGTGTTAGATGATTTTCTCTGAGTCAGGTAAGAAGTATGGTTTGAATGATGAGGGAGATAAGAGGGAAGCTCGGGTATCTTCTGTCTGATGGCATGGATCTATTTTTTTTTAGAAGTCAGCAAGGCAGGGTCATTTGTTCCATCAATTTGCAGGCCTTTATTGAATGCCTGCAATAGGTCAGGCACTATATTAGGCACAGGGGATACACAGGTAAAAATGAAAGACTCACCTTTAAAGGGCTTACTGTCTGTAGAGGAGAAATTTTGCACATATAAATAAGTACATGGAAGGTATGCTACCCCTTTTGGATTTGGACAATTTTATTTGCAGAAAGGAGGAGAAACATGGATAGTTCTGAGAAGACCTGAGAGAAATCAGACTCAAAGAAACATACTTACTGAAGACAAAAATGGCCACAGTGTGTTGTTTTCCAATACCTTATTTATATAGGACTACTTTGAGGCTAAGTAGGAAACCTGCGCAACTTCAATTTTTTTGTGACAAGGGTTGGGGGATGGGATACTCATACCCATATATATGAATAAAATTATCATTTCACTTATTATACTATATCATAATTATTATAGTATTATAATTATATATAAATAAAATGGTTTTTATTCAGATGAGAACACTAATATATGAGGTGAGGATGGGGAAATCAGGAAAGTTTATTTGTGGAATTTTTTTCAACTCTGTACATCAGCATGTAAGCAGGAGTGGAGTCCATGTATGGTGAGAGTAATTGAGGGTTAAAGCTTGACAGTGAATGGGTTGGTTAACAGCAGGGCCGGGCACTCACCTTGGAAGACTTCTAGCCTCACAGGATCACATATAGGATGTGAGGTTCTAGGAGTACTTTGTAAGCTATGTATCTGGATGATTTTCTACCCCTCCTTAGGGGGTTCCTTTGATATTCTAGGGTAGGATCTTTAAGAATTATTGAAAAGCTATCTTCTTGAAGCTTATCACTTGGGAGCTATGGTTTCCAAACGAGGTGAGCATAGAGAAATTGGGCCTTTGGCTACGACTCCTAAAACCCCCACCCATCTGAGGTGATTGCCACATACTGGGACAGCCATGACTCTCCATGGCTTTTTGCCTCCACTGGAATTACTGAGAGAGGCAGTATGGCATAGTGTATAGAGCTGGGCTTGGAATGAAGAAGACTCCCCTTCAGGTCCTGCTGCTGTGTTATCTTGGAGATGTCACAGCTCTCTGAGCCTCAGTCTGTTACTTCTAAAATAATAGTAACAGTAGTAATAATGCCTATGGAGCTTTTTGTGGAGATCAAATGAAACATGCATGAAAAAATGCTTCATAAACCTAAAAATGCTACCTAAATGTCCATTATTCCTATTATTTCTTTCTAGCATTTCTTGCATACTCCATAAGAACCATGTAATCTTGGGCCTAGATGTCTATCTTTTCCCTTCAAATGCCTTGGCCAAGTCTCCTTACCTTGAACTGTGATAACCACAGTTGCAGATAGATGGGAAATATGCCCCATGAACCCTGTACAGTAGTAGGATCCACTGTGAGTATAGTTCACTTGAGGGACAATATAGTCAAAACTCTGAAGTTCATACTTCAAGGCTTGGTCATTGTGGTAGTATGCGACTTTGTGCAGTGGTTTGCTCCTCCAACTGTGGCACCTCAGGATCATAGAGTCACCTTCCATGAACTCTAATCTCTCTACTTGGAGTAGCAGCCAGTCTGAAAGATAAATACAGAGGCCATTGGCACAGGACATTTCAGCTTCTCCTAGAGCCTTGGGCCATCTAAGACTTCCTGCCACCTCCAAAGACAAAGAAAAGCAGACCCTGACTCTGAACAGTGATGCCAGTCACTGAACCTGGCATGAGGACACAGGGAATGCCACTTGCCAGAATCTGCCCTCATGTTGTTGTTGTTTGTCATTCGTTTTCAAAGAGGACCAATGACATCAAAGGGTGATGTCTTGACTCAGGGGTGAATTAGATTTAAGAGAAGCAGAGTTGCACAAAGTCATCAGATTCACTCTGTTCCAGAGTCATCAAAGTCCAGAGGCAAGATAAAAGTTAAGATGACTACAAGTGGCCCAGGATGAAGTGGATATCCTGGCATCTCTGATCTCTGACCAAGCTCTAAGCACTCCATAATGCCTGCTTCAGCCACCTTCATGTCCGTTGGAGCAAGATGTTCTCATCCACCCATTCCACTGACAGGAGGCTTCACGTGCTTGGGGTAGACACTCCACTACCCTGCCAATGGGTTTGTGTCTGGTTGGTTACCCTCCACATCATTAGATCATCTGCCAAAATGGGTGACCACCACACAAGCTACAGCTTCTTGGAACTACAGGGGAGAGGTGAGTGCCAGGTGGACACCAAAGGTAGATGCACACCCCAGAAAAGGGCTCAGCAAAACTTTTTACCAGAGGTGCTGCTCCTTCTTGCATACCCATACACTCCATCTGCCCACATATAATCCAATGGGCTCACCACATATCACAGCCAAAAAAATGGGGAAAGAAATGGGGAGAATGTGCAAGTAAGACATACATGGAGGTAACTTGGGAGGAATTAAAGAACTAGGCAGGGGCCTAAACATTTCAGAGAATGTGAGGTCATTTGTAATCTGGAGCCATAATTCTCATCCTGCAGGGATGCTAGTACAGCATGATGAACTGACCATGGGACTCTACTCCTCAGCCAACTCCTGTGGCTCCCCATTGCCTCTAGGAAAAAATGCAAATTCCTCTGTTAGCTGTGAAAGGCCTTTACAACCTAGCCATGGACTGCATGGACCACAACCTAGGACGTGACTCTCCCCTCCCTTGGATTTGACCACATAGCCAAAGTGGCCTTCTCTCTGTTCCTCTCATGCTGCCTTCAGCTCCCAACTCCGGGCTTTTACACTGTCCATCTCTATACCCAACTCCCACACCCTATGCCTGGAATGCACCCTCTTCTTACCCCTCCCTCATAGAGTTCCTCTCTTCTTCTAAGATACAGCTCAGGCAATACCTTCTGCACCACACCTTTCTTGGTCATCTCAATTGTTAGTAGCCTTCCTTCCAATATAACTTCTCTATATTTATATTCACAAAATTGCATGTATGTTGTATGCTTATACATATATATATATCTCATGTACATATAAGATGTGTGTATATATAGGTACATATATATTACATGTACTTGTTATCTCTCCCATTAGAATGTAAACTCTTTTGACCAGGGATTGTTTTTATTCTCTGTACTTTTATTTCCAGTGTTTATTACATGGTAGGCCTTTAATAAATACTTATTGATTGATTAAGTGTAGTTCCCTAGTCTCCTGGCCACTCAGAAGGGCATTCTGAAAATTTCCTGGCAGAAAGGGGTAGTGAAAATAGAGTCTGTGAGAGAAACTTAGAACAAGACAAGCTAAACTCATACCTCAGTAAGGGCAATAGTGAAAGGAGAATTAAAATAACCTGTAGATTTCTCAGGAACTCTCCCACCCTCCCCCTTGACATTAGTTCTGCCAGGATATGTTTCTTTCCAGGCTGTATTGTAAACAGATTTCAACTCTTCCCCTCCCTTCCACCTTACCACAGAATCCTTCTCCTTCACTTACCACTAAAGACCTGTAGTTTCACAGAGTTGCTCAGAGCAGTGTGTTCTGTCCTGCACTGGTATTCCCCACTGTCCTCGATGTTGACAGCTGGGATGGTATAGGAGTCCTGGTGGATGGGGAGAGCTGACCCATTGTGAAGCCATTCAATGGAATGGTGTCCAAGGGTCTGGAATACTTCACAATTTAAAGTCACATTGTCGCCTTGGAGCACATTGAACCATGGGGGTTCCAGGGTCAGTACTGCCCTTGGGGGACCTGATGAGGGTAGACAGGAGAGGGGAATGAAGAAAAGGAGTCTTCCAAGAGGCATCAAATCCCAGATCTGAGGGGAGGAACCAGTGCACAGAGAATAGAGTGGAGCCCACACAGTGCATATTTAGGGGGCTGTGGAGTAGACAAAATGTCAGAGCTGGTCAACTGCTAGTGGCAGTTTTCTCACACATAGATGCCACACTGAGTCATGAGGCCCCAGGGCCTTTTCCAGAAGGATGGACAGTTCCCTAAGGACCCCCTGGGTCCCATCTGATTAGTAAAAAAACACACACGACAACCACAAAATCCCAAGAACCATTATCTTCTTCTCAAAGACAAGCTATGTCAGGGAATGTAAGACCAAATGATCTGTAACTTCCATCTCCAAAATTTAGGGGAAACCCTGAAAATCTCTTGGGTAAGTATTGCTCTATGGTAAGGAGAGTGATCAGTCATTTCCTGCAGGAAGAGGGGTCACATGTACCTCCATTCCAAGGCCAGGCAGCCCAGCCCCTACAGCTGCTAGCCTCATCCAAGGATCTGAATCTCTGCCCCCATACCTCCTCCTCCAACCCACTCAGCTGACATTCATCCAGAGACCCAACATTTAAAGGATAGTAGATAACACAGACACATGTACAATGCACAGTACATGTACTCAGCAAGGTGTAGACAGCAGCACCCACAGACTGTGAGCTCCTCGAGAGAAGGGATTGTTTGCCCCTTTCTTTGTCTCCCCAGCCATCACTGGTTCCTGAGACATCACAGACACCTAGTAAATCCTTGCTGACTTGGTTTGACTTGATCCACGTAGCACATGCAAAGATATTTAGAGATCACTTGGGGCAGGAGAAAGAATGCTGCCTTTGGATCCAAGGATCTTGGGTTCAAATTCTGGTTTAGCCACTTACTAGTTGTGTGACCTTGGGCTACTCAGTTAACCTTTCTTGGACTCAGTTTCCTCACCTGCAAAACATTGAAGTTGCACTAGAGGACCCATCCTGCTCTCATCCATGACCATCAACTATATTGACAGCCTCAGAGCAACCACAGACACATAGAACCCAGACATGCCATGGGGAGTGGGGATGGGAAACAAGCATTTATTAAGTGCCTACTGTGTGCCAAGTACTGTGCTAAGTATTTTACACATATTATCTCATTTGATCCTAAATCGTAAGACTTAGAGCTGAAAGGGACCATAGAGATTATCAAGTCCAACTTCGTCATTTTACAGATGAGAAAACTGAGGCTTGGAGCAGTGAAATAATGAGGGCAAATGGGTAGCAAATAGCAGGCCTTTCTTTCCATGGAGCAGGGAGTGAAACACACAGATGGGCCCAGGGATGCAGAAAAAGTGGGATATACACAGAAGAACTGCTCAAACCCAGGAGGGCAGCTAGGTAGGGCAGCAAATAGGGTGCCAAGCATAAAGTCAGGAAGATCTGAGTTCAAATCCAGCCTCAGAGACTTACTAGCTGTATGACCCTGGGCAAGCCCTGTTTGCCTCAGTTTCTTTATGAATAAAATGAGCTGAAGAAGGAAATGGCAAAGCACTCCACTCTCTTTGCCAAGAAACCCTCAAATGGTGTCACAAAGAGTCAGCTGACTGAACAGTAACTTGCTTAAACTCAGAGAACCATGGGGACCCATCCGAGCAGACTAGCCTTTTTTAGAGGGTATATGCTTCCCGTGACTTTGTGACTGAAAACCAAGTTTCCTGAGTAGCTAGGTGGCACACTGGATAGAGCACTGGGCCTGAGATCAGGAAGGTCTGAGTTCAAACCTAGGCTCAGACACTTATTAGCTGTGTGACCTTGAGTGAGTCACTTAACCCTTATTTGCCTCGGTTCCCCATCTGTAAAATGGGGACATATTAGAGAAGGGGGGTGAAACATGACTGAACCACCTGAAAACAACAGGCTCCTGAGGAAGAGGGTTGAGTCTCTAGCAGTAGAAAGGAGAACAAAGAGCCTTGGGTGGAAGGTTCTGGGACAAGAGAGTTATCTCAGTGACAGCTGCTTCCTCACTGGCCCTGAAGTCTCACTCTCCTCTTAATCAGGCGGGTTCAAGGCTCCAGTCAGGATAGGAGCTGCTGTCCTGGATGTACTGATATGTCCTACACTGCACTGATATGGATGTTCAGGAAGGAGTCAGAAGGGGTGCTTAAGAAAAGTAGAGAGGCCAGAAATAAATATAGAACTTACCATTACTCCTGATGGCTGGAGCTGCAAGAGACCAAAAAGCAGGGATTAGACCAGGACAGGGAACCCAGGGGCCAGGCAGCTACAGCATGGAACTCCCAGCAGCCAGGCTAGGGACTCAGAGAAGCCTGTTGTGCAGTCTTTCCCCAGGCTTCCTCACAGCTGCCTGGAATCAGAGTGATTACAGGGGCACTGGAAGTCCCCTCCCCTCAACAAAATAGGAAAACAATCTACTGCCTGCTCAGTGACATCTGAAATGCCACCATTAGAGACCTTCCTGGGGCTTAATATTTTGTTCCCTTCCAAAATGCAAGCATCTTTCCACCTCAGTGTGAATGAGTTTATTGAATTAAGTCCTTTCTTGAGAGTAGGATTTAACCTAAGAGTGCTCAGGAACAAGGAGAAGGATAAAGAAAGAGAGTCTCTGGGGGACTGGCTATATCTGCCTATGCGTTTTCTTTTTTTTTTTTTTGTAATTTTTTTGTTTATTTACTTTTAACATTCTTTCTTTTTTTAAAAGTTAGAGTTCCAAGTTCTCTCCCTCTCTTCCACCCCTCCCCTACCCATTGAGAAGGCAATAAATGTGGTATCAATTATACATGTGAAGTTATACAAAACATATTTTTATATTATTGGCTATGCTTCTTAAGAACTCTGACAAGTCATGGCTGCAGCATGTCCTGCTTGGGATTTGTGAATAGTCACTATTTAACCAGGTGGTGCAGTGGATAGAGCACAGAGCTTAGGCAGGAAGATCTGAGTTCAGAACTAGACCTCAGACACTTACTAGCTGTGTGATCCTGGGCAATTCTCTTAACACTGCCTCAGTTTCTTCATCTGTAAGATGGGGACAATAATAGAACCTATATCACAAGGTTGTTGTGAAGATCAAATAAGACAGTACATGTAAAGCCCTTTACAAACCTTGAAGTGCCATTTAATGCTAGCTCTTATCATTAATGCAAAGGCAGAATTGGATCCTTGCCTGAACAGGGGAATAAGGCCAGGGATGTTTAGATGTTTAGAGATTGTGCAGAGGGAAGGTGCAGGAAAATCAGAACTTTCCCCCCCATGTTTAAGAGAAAGCCATCTCCCCAGCAAGGGCTTGAAAATGGGAAGAACTGCTGACATCCAAGTGTCATGAACAGACAAACTGGTCTGAAAGTCAGGAGACAGAGCTGTGTGATCTTAAGAAAGAAAGTCCTTTCATTTACCAAGCATTTATGGACCATTAGCTCTGCCATTTACTAGCTCTGTGACATTAGACCAGACATTGAACCCTCCCTAGGCCTGAGTCTTATCTACAAAATAGGACAACCCAATCAGATGGCATCTCTGGTCCTTTTGGGCTCTGAAGTTCTATTCTAATCTTTGGTCTCCCTCATTTCCCACAACCCACTATCACGTCTAGGAATTTCTCTGCTTTGGTTCAATTACTGAAGTACGTCCAGGGGTCCTGAAGTCCCCAGGTCACTGAGTTGAAACTTGATAGAGCTATGGAACACCAAGAAATCTATCCAGAAACAAGTATGAGCTGCATGACATTTGAGGGAGTGAAGAGGAGTGTCTGCCATGACCCACTGTGGGCAGGCCTGGAGCCTCTAGTGTGCATTTTGGCCTTGCTGGGGTAGGAGATCCACACCCAGTATATCTCATCTAAACATAAAATTTGATCTGGAGACAACTCCTCCCAAAAAGGAGAAAGAAGAGGAATTTGTAGCAAAATCAGAGGCATGGTGTGGCTTTGGAGTCAGAGACCTGAGATCAAATGATGGTTCTGCTACCCTTTTGACGTCGGGCAAATCATTTACCTTCTTTGACCTTAGTTTTTTTTTAATCTAAAAAGTGAGAGAAGAGGAGGCATTTATGTGACCACTAATGTTTCTTCCAACTCTGATTCTTTGATCCAAGGCCACAACTTAGTGCTTAAAACTACACTAACATTTTTTGATACAGCCTGTATACCCATCCACCTCACCACCACCCTCCATTTCAGATAATGTCTATATACCTGAAGGAAATAAAATTATTTTATTTTAATTATTTTAATTATTCAAGCCTCACAATCTGCTGTTCCTCAATTACTGAAATTGGGGTCCTGCCTATTCACTGGTTCCCTGGATAAACACTTCCCTTCCCTCAACAAGGAAAGGCAGCTTTAGACACAGGAGAGGGGGAAAACTACAGCAAATGTTTCGTGATTTGAGCTGCAGAGGGAGAAACACCCTCAACCACCTCTTGACTGAAGCAATTTGATTCCAGTGTGGTTACTAAAATAGAAACATCCTGGAGATGTCTGTCTAACTCTGAATTATTATCAGCCATTTATACCATAGAGAGGGTCAGGTTCTCAAAGAACAGGCTACAGTAGGAGAGAGAAAGAAAAGCTATCAGGGTCCCTAGTCGGGAGAAGACAGTCAAACAAGAGTTTGCTGTAGGAATCAGCATTGTTGGCATGGGACTGACCAGCAACTTTAACATCTCTCCTATGTCCTGATTTTAAGTAACTTGTTATATTTAGTCCCTTCCCACTCCCCCACCTTTCTTATCATCTCCCCACTCTTGCTTTCCTCCCAAGTGAGGCCCCCCAAAATGCCTGAGCTAGGATTAGCCCTTTATCTTTGTAACTCTATTGTCTATTCCATTAATCTTAGACTCACCTAGACACAACAGTGCTACCCACAGCAGTACAGAGCTGGTGATGGTGCCAGGCTGGGGTGTCCACAGTCCCCTCATGGCAGGCAGGGAATGCCAGGACTGGACTCCAAGCAGCACAAAAATTCGGAAAATAGCAGCAAACATCCGTTCTGCCCACCCCAACACAGTCCACTCCAGAGAACATAAAATTCTTCTAAAAGAAGGAGTGAGCATTGGCCTGCCTCAGAATCTCCTCCCCTCCTGCCTCTTTCACTGACACTCCTCCCACTGAAGATCCTCTTCTTTCTTCTTCCTCTCTCTTTGCCAGTGGATTATAGGGTTTCCTGACCCAGCACCCACACAGCTGGAACCAACTAATTATGCCACTCTAAATTTAGAAAATCTACTAGAAAGCAAACAAACTACCCCACTCTGACTTTGGTGGAATCTAAGCTGTAAGTTGCACTGGAAGTAGAAGTGTGTATATGTGTATGTATGGATTATATATATATATGTGTGTGTGTGTGTGTGTGTGTGTGTGTGTATGTATACATATATATATATAGTGAGAGAATATATGTATGTGTGTGTATGTACATATGTATGTATTCAGGATCACAAATAGAAGAAGATAAAAGGTATTTCATGGAAAGAACAATTTACCTCAAAAACAGACCAAGGAGAAAAAATATTTAAGAATTGTTTAACTGCCTGAACATCATGACCAGAAAAGAGCTGAGTCATCTTAATTGAAAATATTTTCAAAATGAAATTACCGAAATGTCATGGAACCAGAAGGTAAAGTGGAAGTAGAAAGAATCCATTGGTTACTTCCTAAAAGAAATCTCAAAATGAAAACTCTCAGGAGTGTCCAGGTCAAAAAAAAATACTGAAAGCATTCAGAAAGAAAGAATTAAAGTGCAAGGAATCACAGTCATAATCACACACAATTTAAAAGGCATCTTCATAGATGATCAGAGAGCTTAGAGTACAATACTCTAAAAGGCAAAGGATGTGGACCTTTGGCCTAGAACAACTTACTAAGCAAAACTGAATATAATTCTACAGGAAAAAAAAAGGAATCTTTAATAAAACAGAAGACTTACAAGCATTCCTGATTAAAAGACTTGAGCTATGTAGAAATGTTAAAGTTCAAACATGGGAATTAAGAGAAACATAAAAAAGTAAATGTGAACGAACAATGATAAAGGATTTTAAAAAGGCTAAATTGCTTACACTGTATTGTAGGAAGATAATACATGTGATCCCTCTGAATTCTATCACCAAATTATCCAAGTAGGGTCAAAGAGTCCAATTAAACAGAAAGGCTGAGAATGATTCCTCTATGTCTTGATCTTAAAAAGAAGAATATAAGGGGAGGGAAGAGGACTATACTAGAGGAGGGAAGGAAGAAGAAGGTTAGGGAAAAATATCTCACATAATCATATTGTGCATGTAGAAGTCTATACAAACTATGAGGAAGGGGTAGTGGGAATGGCTGATACTTAAACCTCATTCTCATCTGAACTGGTCAAAGAATGGAAGAATACATACACACAGTTGAGTGCAGAAAGGCATTTTACTCAACAGGGAAGTAGGGCAAGGAGGGAAGGGAGAAAGAAAAATGAGAAAAAAATATGGAGTAAGAGAGGGATTAGTCCTAAGCAAAACAAACTAAGGATATACAGAAATATTTATAGCTCTTTTTGAAGTGGCAAAGAATGGGAATCATAGAAAGTACCCCTGGATTGGAGAATGGCTGAACATAGTATCTCTTATAAATATGATGGAATACTGTTATGGTATTAGAAATGATAAAGAGGCTATTTTCTTTTTCAATATATACCCTACTGTATTAATTAATTTATTTTTAGTTTTCAACATTCACTTCCACAAGATTTTGAGTTCCATTAAGGGGCTATTTTCAAATAAATCTGGGGAGACTTGTACTAACTGATGCAGAGTGAAATGAATGGAGCCAAGAAAACAATTTATACAATGAGCTGAATTTAATCTGGTCAAAATTAATAAGGATAAGAGTAAAATCTTTCAACAATCATTTTTGTAAGTAGAAAAGAAGGGAAGCAGTACTAGGCAGTTTTGTATCTGAAAAATACCAGGATGTTTTGATGGATGGCAAATTCAAAATGAGCAAAAAATGTACTATGACGTAAAAAAAGATGTGATTTTGTGTTACATTGAGAGGAATAGGGTCTAGGAAAAGGACGTAGTAGCCCACTGTACTCTGCCTTGCTCTGAACACATCCAGAAAATAGTACTTTAAGGAGAACATTGACAAGATAGAGGTTGTTCAGAGGAGGCAACCAGAAGGGTCGTGTGAAGGGTCTCAAGTTTCTGTCAAGTGAGAATCACTTAATGAAGTGAGAATGTTGATCTTAGGGCAGGAAGGGCTCAAGGGGACATGACGAGCCTCTTCAAGTCCCAGAAAAGCTGCCACGGGGTCTCCTTGGTGCAGGAGGGGAGGACCAAAAACGATTTCATCCTGGTAACATCTTTCCACTATTCCCCCTTCTCTCCTCTGCTACTGTCACCACCCTGGTGTGGGCCCTTATCGCCTCCCTCCCGGACCTTTGCCATATCCTGTTGGTGGGTCAGTCTACCTCACTTTCGTCTCTCCTCAATCCCACTTATTCTCAGTTCTGCCACCAAAGTGATTTTCCTAAAGCACAGGTCTAAATGCCAGTGGCTCCCTATTGCCTTCAGCATCATATGCAAAAGAGGACTGCTAGATGGTGCAGTGGATAAAGCACTGGGCTTAGAATCTAGAAGACTCCTCTAATGAGTTCAAGCCTGGCCTTAAGCACTTACCTAGTTGTGTGACCCTGGGCAAGTGACTTAACCCTCAGTTAACCCTTAAGTCTTAGTTTCCTCAACTGGACAAATGAGCTGTAGAAGAAAATGGCAAACCACTCCAGTATCTTTGCCAAGAAAACCCCAAAATGGGGCCACAAAGAGTTGGGCACAGCAACAAAAATCCTCTGTTTGCCACTTAAAGCCCTTTATAACTTAGCCCCTTCTACTTTTCCCATCATCTCACACCTTGTTCCCTGACATGTTCTCCTTTTTTTTTTTTTCAATGACACTGGCCTCCTTGCTGTTCTATAGATAAGACACTCTCTCTCAGCTCTAGGCATTTTTTCCTGGCTGCCCCATATGTCTGAGATGCTCTCCCTCTTCATCTCCACCTGCTGGTTTCCCTGGATTCCTTTAAGTCCCAACAAAAAGCCCACCTTCTACAGGAAGCCTTTTCCAACTCCTCTAATTTTACTCCCTTCCTTCTCTTAATTGTTTCCTATTTACCCTGTTTATCCCTTGTTCACATACATCTGTTTGCTTGTTGCCTAATTCCCCCATTAGATTGGAAAATGCTAGAAGGCAGAGTCTGTGTTTTGCCTCTTTCTGTATCCCAAGTGCTTAGCACAGCACCTGACACATAGTAGGGAATTAAATGTTTATTGACTGACTGACAATGGGTAGAAGTGACAAAGGAGGCAGATTAAAGCTGGAAATCAGGAAACATTTCCTGACAACTAAAAGTGTCTGAAAGCAAAATGAGATGCCTTCACGTGGGATGAGTTCATCCTCACTGGTGGGCTTCCAGCAAAGACTGGATGGGTACTTGTCAGATAAGTTGTGGCAGATACTGCTTTTATCTGAGCTGGACCGGCTTTCCACAAAGACTCCTGCTAACACCAACGTTCTACGATTCTGTAGTGATGGGGGACTGGCACGGAGAGTCCAGTCCTTATGAGCACGAATAGCCTGTTCTGTCTGATTCAATCCTCCATGGGGAGGCTGGGGCTTCACTCTGCTTCTGGAAGTGCTTGATAATGTGAAATAGAGGAGCCTGGCTCTGCACTACAGAGCATGTTAAAGTATTTACTGTGCGTTTTTGTTGGTTTACCTCCTATTGAGGTTAATGAATTTGATGAATTCCTAAGTTGGAACCGTAAATGCCTACAAAAGCATTTACTGACCAAAACGATCTCTTCTTGCTTGTGTTTGAGCAAGGAAAGTAAAATAGTATAAGCCTCTGAATAGAGACAGAGGCTTTGGGCCTTTTATCTACACAGGCGTCCACTATGTAGGTGATGAACACATGGCTGTCGCATCTGTCTCTCTTGCATGTATCTTGGTATTGGGTGAAGAAATATTGAGAGAATTATGACTTGTGAGCTTTCAAAGTTTTGGAGGAGCTGCCAAGAGGTCTGGGAACTGGAATCGATTTCAGAGATTTCAGAGTTTGAGGCAGCAGAGACTTGTGTATCTTTCATAAGGATTAATGTAAGTAAACATACGTTATAGTTGAAATAGCAACTACACAATTATCATATCAACTCATCACATCAATGATATAATCATAAGATAGGAGACATGTGTTTAGACAGCAGTTCATATGAAAAAGGCTTGGGATTTAGTGGACTTCAGTTTCTATGTAAGCCCCCAGTGTTCTGTGACAGGGCAGGGATGTGCTGGAGCCAGCTCATACTGTCTTAGGAGAGCTGATTGTTAAATTTTCATTGTGAGCATCTCACCTGAGAAATTGGCAAATGATACAAATAAAAGCTTGATTTATTGTTTTATTGATTGTCTAGACTTAAGAAAGTGATGAAGAAAAAGTTAATAATGCAGATTAAACTGAAAAGTATGAAATATGTAAACATTTTTCAGATGCCCACTCAGTTTCCTTTAGCTCTGAAATTCTATGATCCTTATCTCCCTGAACATTTTTATTCCTATCAACCTAATTGACATGCCCATTATACAAATCCACATAAGCAACTTGTTTATCAAATTCCCATAGTGGCTGTTCCAAATCTTTTCCATTCTCCTCAAATTACCAATCACTCTTAGCAGATGACTACACATCTTACATTACCGGTGAGATTGAGATGATTTACCATAAAGTCCCTCACCTTACCTTCTCTTCACCTTAAAATATCTATCTTCACTCATCCTCTCTTGCTTTACTTCTATCTTCTATCTTTAAGGAAAAAAATCTTTCTCCTCTATATTGTCTGTTGATATGACCTTCTTCTACCTCCTCTCAGTCCTTGTCCATTAATATCCTCTCTCTTGCATCTTTCATCTCTCATCATCTTTCATCATCTTCACTGACTTTCTTCCACCATCAATCCTGTCCTTCCAATCTAGTTAAAACATGCTTAGCTCTCCTATACCCTAAAAAACCTCCCCTTAATTTTTCAACACCCCCTCAGGTATCTCAATGTCTTCCTCCTTCCCTTAACCACCAGACTT